TCTCTTATATTATCTGAGTGTGTAAGAGTTTGAAGAGAGAGACTTAATATTATTCACAGAATTACAGAGTATTATTATCATTAATTAAGTATTCTGAGATGTCAGTTCTTATACATAGTTCTGAGAGAAATCAGAGTGCTTCTTGACATACTACTTTAGTAAGTATTTAAAGAAGTTCATCAGTTTGAGCTGTTACATATTATAATTTATTTAGTGTAGATTTGAGAGAAGTTGAGATATCAGTATTAATATCAGTGTCAGTGTTAATAATAGTTCAAAGAGAGAGTGTTCTAATCAGAGAGGTATATATAGTGTCATGAGTTATTTTATCTTGATCAACTAATATCTTCAGATCTAGAAGTCAGTGTTCTCAGTTCATTCAACAGATATCTGTTATATTGAAAGATATATCTTGCTCTTATTATAAGACAGTATCTGTTATTGAGTTCTGACTGCTGAGATAGTAGTGTATTGTAAAATAAAAGCAGCTTAAGAACTCAGATTATTATATCTATTATTCAGTGAGTTTACAGATAGTTATGAAGTACTTGAGATTCTTATAATCTGTGATTATCTCAAATTTGAAGATACTTCAGAGTTCAGAGTCTCATTCTTCTAGACAGTGTATAATTGTAAGAAGTCTCTTATTATAGATGTTATAATTGTATTTAACAGAACTTAGTTTCTTAGACATGAAGATGTATAATTATAAAATATCTTTATTATTATATTACAATATAGCTCGCTCTGTAATATAGTCAGAGAAATCAGCTTTAATAACTATTTCATAATCAGAGTTAAATATTATTAGTAGACAGATGTTGATGAATATCTTCTTTATTTATATAAATGCAGCTTCAGTGTTCTCTGATCACTGAAATATTAAGTTTTTTCTGATAAGTTCTATAAATGATCTCATAATATCTGAGAAATTTTATATAAATCACTGATAGAAGTTAGTAAATCTGATAAAGCTTTATATATCTTTCACAGTATATAAAGCTTCTCATTTAAGAATAATAAAGACTTTCTCAGAATTCATTTAAATTCTCTTATCAACTTCTATGATAAAATCTAGATATTTAATACTCTTGATTTCAAAGTTATACTTGTCAATATCTATTAATAGTTCTGCTTCTTATAATCATTGTAATACTCTTTACATATATTCTTGATATTCTTTTCTGAACTCATCAGTGAAGATAAGAATGTTATTAAGATATACAGATACAAATTTATTAAGAAAATTCCAGAGTACTCAGTTTCATTGATAAGAGATAAAGAATAGTGATTCTTCTTAATTAATCTATTCAATTCTCAATAGTTCACACAGAATCAGAGTTCTTTATTTAATTTCTTTACAAAGAGAATAGAAGCTGCAGCAGAAGAGTTACTAATATATATAAATTTTTTATTTAACAGATCATTGAGTGTCTTTCAAAGAAGAAGTTTATCTTGGGACATATTATAAAGAGAGTCTCATGATAGCTCAGAGTTCTTATTATTCTTCTTTTCTAACTTAATACTGTGATCTACTTCTGAGTCTTGTAAGAGAGATATATTTATAGTATTATCTTATCAGAAGATATCTAGGTATTCATGATATTATTAAAAGAGTTTTGTATAAGAATCTGTTATTATAGTACAGAATAACTTCTCTAGAGCTTTCTTAATATCAGTCAGACTGATAGAATAGATTATTATATAATTCTACTATCAGTAATCTTTTCAGTGACTTTCTTTTCAGAGTATTTCATAGATATTAACAGAGATCTGTATTAAATTTGTAGTTTTATAAATATTATCTTCATGAACTCTATTATTATTAGAGAATATTAAGCTTCTATTTTAAGTGTTTAATAAGATATCTTATTCAGATAGTCAGATAAGTTGTAATATAAGATTATAATTGAAATTATCAACTTTATATACATAGATATCTTTATATTAATATTCTTCAATATCTATGTTTAACTTTATTATATAACAGATATAAACATCTTTTAAATTATTAAATTCTGTAAGAAGTCAGAGTTTTAATAAGAGAATACACTGAAGATTGTAATATCTTATAACTGAAGATTTAATTATTATATAATAATATAGATTACTGTCTATTATAGCTTTCATATTATATATATTATTAATTATAGTAGATATAAGAATTATATTCATTGTTATTTTCTCTTTAAATTATTATCATCTGATCTCTTCAAGCTTTTATTTATAAATTTAAACAGAAGCTAATCTTTTCTCTATTTTATTAAAATATTCTTATAGTTATCTTCTAAATCTTTCTTCACTATAATATAATTGATATGAACAGATACTGATTCATTCTTTAAATAAGAAGATATATAAATTAATCAGCAGTTGAAAGCAATGTATTCTAATTAGTTACAGTTAATACATACTTCTCATTAACATTGATCAGTGACTTCTTTAGAAGTGATCTCAGAAACTTGAAAGTCTATTCAGACAGCAGAGACTCTTGCTTATATATAGATATTTAAGTCTACTTAATTCATATTATCTATATCATTATTATTCTTCAGTGCAGATATATAAGTAACTGAATTATTTCTCAGTGCAGATGTATAAGTATAATATCTTCTATTATTATTCTGTATACTCTTAAGCTTGATAAGACAGTCATTTAATATCTGAAGTTATATATAGAAATCTTTATAAGTCTGATCTTTATCTACACTTATAAGTTTCTGTAAGAGTTTAAAAGTTAATATCTTCTTAAGTATGCTAATCTTTATTTAATTCTTTCAAAATTAATCATCTACTTCTAGAATCTTAATATCAAAGTCAGAGATAAATATTATAAGAGAAGTATTTCTCTATCAGATACTCTATAATTAATTTAATACTTTCTATTATATAATAGTATCTTAGAACAGAATATTAAGATATTTAATAATATTATCAGATATTTATAACACTGATTCACATACTTTTATTTATAAGGAAAACTTCTATTTTATATAATTCTTTAATTATTCATTAATATATTAATCTTGATTAATTAGGAAATCAATGATATCTTCATTTATACTCAGGTTTATAAGTATTTTCATTCTTTATAAGAAGTAAAGAGTGAGATTAGAAGTATTAAAATATATAAGAGGATTTAAGTATTCTTTCAGTATTTTTGTATTTAATTTTATAGAGATTGAAATTGTATAAGTTTCTTATTAAGATAGTTATTAAATCTCTTCATATGAGTATTATTAGGGTACATGGATAGCAGTATTTATTATTATTATAGTGGTAATATTACTCAGAGGCAGTGTATAGTATGGCTATACTTATATTCAAGAGTCTCTCATACTATTATTAGATATGATTATATTGATTATTAAATATATAATATCTATGAAATTAGAAGAACTATAATTATATAAATATCTTATACATCTATAATATCAGAACTCTTAGATCTTTCACTGATATTCTTTTTATAAGATCTTATTCTCTTCATAAGATCTTATTATAGAGTCAGAGTGACTAATAAGTAAGCTTTTATCTGAGAACTCAGTATCTATTTAACTGTTTAACTGTTTCTCTATTTCTTATATATTATTATATATTCAGATATCTCAGTGAGTAATTATTTCTAATAAGAAGATAATACATGAATAATTATTTCTAAGAAGATAATGAATATTTTTCAAGTGTAAGAGATCTACACTGAATAGATTGATATAATATATAGATCTTATATAACAAAGTAAAAAATGTTAAAGAAGAAAAAGAAAGAGAAAGTGTGAGAATCAGTGATTGAAGTGAATATTTATACATGTATACAGTGTGTACACAGTGAAGCTTCAGAGTGAAAGAATAGAAATTCTGTGAGTTTTTTCACCTGAGAATTGGTGATTAAGAATGACTGAGAATCGGAGCTTTCAGCGGAATCTATGGAGTGTAAAGGAATAGTCTATATGATGATCGGGCGCAGCCCGCCACAGATACAGTCACATAATCAGTCTAGTTTCATAGAGTCATAGTATCTTAGTAGTATTCTGATAATGACATCTGCTAATTACACAGTTACTGAGTAGTATTATAATAATGTTAGAAAGTTCTGCACTGTCTCAACATCATCTTGACATTTAATATTCAGTGACATGTCACTGAATATAATGATGGAACATGTGTTACAATCAGTGACACGTGACATGAGTGGAATGATGGATCCACGGTGTAATCACTGTAAATTAACCCTATGTTCTTCCCGTATGGATCGCTCCGCCTACACGTGATCCCATATGTTCCTCCCACACGACTACAACAGATCACAGAAAATGATTGGCTCATCGAACCACATCAAACATTAATCTGCATGATATCTTTTGGTTTAGAAGCGGTGTCAACTCATTACAATTCAGAACATTGAGGGTAACAGGGAGCTTTATAATACTTGGAACGAGTGGCATCCTTTTGAGCCTAGCTGCCTCTTTTTAAAATCGTGGCTTAACTTCTTTCATGCTAGGCTCGAATCGAAGTCACTCTGTCACGGCGGTATCTGCTTTTAATTTGTGAAAGGGGAGCCATTTTTTTTAATCTTGCGTTTCTATGTGTTGAGGCGCCGTACATCAACTTCCAATTCGGTGCGACTGAAGCGAATGCTGTTGCACACCAACATACCGATTGAAAATATGTACTCAGTGCATTACCCTGGAACCTAACTTAAATAGGCTTATTTTTGTTCCCCCTTACATTCTATGTTTCCGGATCTATTCCCCGCACCTCTGAGTCAAGGGTCGTTGTGGAGACAGTTCATATACGGTTGGCAAATAGGCCCGAGAAACAGCAGATGGAGCTAAATAATTTTTAAAATAGAGAAAAGGTGCGGAAACAACGGAGGCACTGTTCATCTTTCCCTACTCCGTAGTAAGAATGGAGTGATTGCGCTCATACAGGCAGGCAATATTTAACTCCGACGAAGCAACGACGCCCCAGCCCGCCAAAAGTTCAGTCGAGACGCCAGAATGTCCCCTCCCACCATCTCACGCACTGCCCCATTCTTGACATCCGACGAAGAATATCTCACCACTGGTCTCCGTTCAGATCTTGTAAGATGACCACAGCGCCAGAGCAAGAGAATTCCCCATAAGGTTCCCTCCCCGTGGGACCATTTCTAATCGTAGGCACCTTTGTTCCTATCGAAGCGCATTCTCCCTAACCCACTGTCGAGTCTAACACCATACATCAGCACTGGGACTCTTCCTCACCACTACCTCCAATCGAACAGCGAAGCTAGCTTGTCGAAGCGTTCCTGGAGTCAGAGTCCAACCCCACAGATACGTTCCCCATACCACGGAAGAAATCCCCACCGTCCTTGAGCCTTACCGCCCAGCTAAGCTGCGAAGAATAGCCCATCAACATGTTCTCCATCCTTCCTCTTATGATGGCTTTTCTTCTTGCGCACCTACTATGATGGAGGTTCCGATGACGATACAAAGCTCCAAAAGTGGTTTGAGGATTTCGGGTGGAATTTATACTCCCCCTGGCGAGATGCTAGCCCGCCTGGTTATTCGGGTGACGGAGACGATGAAATCTGCGCCTCACGGAATACGTGGTGGATTCTCCTTGATGACCCTGAACTCTTTGATGTCGGCGACGCCTGGCCTCGGGTTTATAGCACCCTACCCGAGCTGGTGAAGCCTGTGAATACACATCCCTTCGAACCAATGGCTGAACAACTCAAGCTGAAGGACAAACTTATCAAGTCCTACGGTTACAAGCCCCGTAGCGAAGATGTGTTTAACAGAATACTACATGTGGCCTATAATGATAGTAATCGAAACCCAATCATCCTTCTTGACAAACAGGCGTTCAGCAGGGGTGAATGGGGCCTCGTGTATCTTGACTCCAAGGGTGATGTGAAAAAATCTCATGCCCATCCTGATTCTCTAGGTTATTTGCACATTTGTCAGGAGATTGAACTCATTGCATGTGAGATGAGGGAGTCCTGAAATATACAACTTTTAGAATGAAGATTCTCCTTATTTCATTCCACCCCCTAAACAGGTTTTTCCGTTGGTTTGGGAACCTTGGCCACTTGTTGCTGTCAGCACAGCATCTAAAGCTATCTTGTTCTTCTTTTACGTTGCATTTTATCACTAATTGAGATTCGTTACGGAGAAGGCCCAGGAAGTAGTGATTTCCAGTATGGTTGGAGATTAAGGTAAATTCTTACTACTTACTCATGAGCAGAATTCCTATTCCAGAGCACCACTATTGGAATATATCTACTACTCATATGTCTCCAGCATCAATGTAAGTTGTTACACCAAAGGCCGTGACTATCCGGCGGGGTGATGGCACAATATCTTGTACAGCTAGCTCCTTTTGTTGACCTGGCTGTTCTACACCACTATAGACCTTCAACTAGCCTTGAAGCTGCGGTAAGATATTGAAAAAAACCTTCTAGTTCTGCGCGGATTGGCTTTTCATTATTTCCCCAGTCTGAGGTCTGCAGGTGGATTTTGCGTAAATGAAGTCTTGCATCAAAGTCCAGAAGCATGCAACGAATATATGTTGCACAGTGGGTTGGTGGCTGGTGTATCTTTCGGCCTCTTTGAGCTTTACAGGTATGTCAAGCAAGGCGGGTCCGGTAGGACTCTGGTTGGCCACAGTCTGCTCGAGGTCCAGCTGTCCTATTGAAGTCCAAACCAGTGTCAATCCATTCATTCCAGGCCATCCATTCATGATCCTAAGAGAAATTCAGTTTGCCAGAGGAGCTGTTATTGAGAAGTACATGACAGAAAAACGCGATGGTCTCGCACACATCCACCAACTTCTATACTCTGATAGCTGCAAATCCCGCCTTGTTCAAATGAGGGGAAGCCAAGACCGTCACAACCATCAGGTTAATTGTCAGTACATAACTAGAAGCCCGATGAACGTCTAGGTTAAAAAGGAGCTAGCCAAATTCGGTAGCAAGCCCTAACTCCTGAGGTCTGACTAACTATCTTGAAGCTGTGACAGCCCTATCTACGTCATAGGCCTAACACCTACCAAAACGCCTCACCTCACCCACCTTCGCTAATATGCCCCCAAAACATCTTCTCTTTTTGTATAGAAAGCTGGGAGTTAATTCAGACAACGGCCATCATGATCAGAAGATCGGGTGTACTATATAAGTTACGATTCCCGCATCGTCCACACCCCCGATGACAGCCCTCTCCCCAGGCATCCGATATGCATGGAGAGGCTCGACGGGAAAGGACCATAGCTTGGACCAGAGCAAGCGTGGCAACACTACGGATCCCATAACCAAGGGTTCGGCTGGTGGGTTGAAAGACAAGGAAGAAGCCACAAAAGGAACGGGAAATTCCAAAAGCAATGCCATGACAGAACGGGATCACGAAGGTTCCACGAAGAACGCAGAGAAGAGCTTCTAGAAGCTCCAAGGCCCATTATTGGCATGACCGATGAAAGGGGCAAGGTGAGTCGGTTTCCTTATTTCGAATTTAGAGTACTTTTTCTGTCTCCTTTTGTCTTGGTACACATGGCTGATGCTCATTCATAATTTCAGAAGGGCAGATGAGCGGGCAAAGCATTAAAGGCCGCGCTACCTCCTGAGGTCGATATACAAGCAGGGGCATTGAGTTTCGGCGTTGAATGAAGAAAGGATCAAAGGAATATGTCATTTCGTTCACTGTATGGTAACATTTGAGTGGTATTATCGGCCGACTTTAAAAGATAAAACCTTCGGATCGTGGAAAGGCGTGTTAGCTTGGGAGTTAAAAAGAAATGCTACTGCAAAATTAGGATAATGCAGCCAGAAGTGGCCGACCTTAGAAATTCAGTCCTTACATCGTACTTCCCAATAGAAACTATCTCATCCTCTGAGACCCTTGTGCCTCCCGCTCCCTCTATATATGCAACAGGAGCATCACCCATCACTTTCCGAGCCACGTCAGCCACCGTGCTATTCCTGTAATAGTGTTAGCAGACCATAGGCTATTTAAAATTCCTAGTAAATACGCGGAGGATCTGACTTATTGACAAGCACGCAATCCTTGAACACTCCATTGACCGTTCTGGTTCCGGACGCAAATGTGTGGATATTGCGGACTGGGAAAACCGGCACCAACCCAAGTAGCTCTGCAGCGCGCGTGAGAACCTGGACGACGCCCGTTGATCCGAACCGGTACAAAACCAAATCCTTGAGATTTTCCACCCGACTGCCCAAACTAAGTAAGTATTGGATACATAATGGTTGGACTCGGTGAGCCAATTGAGGTAGCAAGGGGTAAGTGTATACTTCTTCAATTTCTCATCCATTTCCTTGAGGCCACCGCCGTCAGGGTCGCCCATATCTATTAGATCTTCTCTCGTATCTATAAAATCACTCCCTTCGACATACTTGATATAGCCTTGTTTGGCTAGCTTTCGAAGGAAGACTTCTGATATGGCAGAGCACAGGACGATCGATTGCGGATCTTGAACCTTGGCGATTTTACTTATATTCTATGATTCCGCTAAATCAGCAAAATGACAAAAATTTTCATAGAATCTTCAAAATTCTAGCCTACCTTGTCCGCATCAGGGTGGTCAATTTTATTTAGCGCGAGCACCGTGGGGAATTTTTCATCTATGAAGGCGACGACAACACGTTCCACAGTTTCATCCGACCATTCTTGAAGAGGCTCTTTTATATCTAATCGGTCAAGACATCGCGCGACGATCTTCGATGTGCTTCCGTAACCAGAAAACTGATTTTGTAGCGTCTCAACAGGCGTTGCCTCTATTCTATGTCAGAATAGCTGCATTTCAAATCTGGGCAATTCTACACGTACTTGTTGCAGTATGTCGCCGTTTTATGGAACCCCTATTACCCGTAAGTGTCTGTTTTCGGAAATGCCCCGTTGCCGTCATAGGGAGGTGTACCATTTTTCCATAAGATTCCCCAAAATCCAATTGACGATCTCCGACTTCAACCAAACAATATCTTGAGAAGGGTCGTACCCTCTAGTTGCCTTCCCTGGTATCAAAAAACACTTTATTCAGCCCACCCAAGAACATCTTATGCTGGCGTCGCCATGCGCTGCACTAGTTAGTGATCTGGATTGACATGACCAACCTTCAGCATCAGTCGTCCCGCTAACATCAACCACGTGTATTAACGCATCCGCATGCCGCAAGTCATCCAGAAATCTATTCCCGAGTCCCTTGCCCTCATGTGCTCCAGGAACAAGCCCAGCAACATCAAGCAGCTCTATCGGGACGGATCTCCGGCCTTCATGACAGCCACCGTAATTCGGTCTGCATTTATCTGAGACGTTAAAGCGTTTGCACGCGCAGTCTACCTGGAGGTAGCCAATGGCGCGCTGGGGATCGATAGTTGTGAAGCTATTCTCCACGATTTAGCGATGAAAACTCGGTGGTCTGGATGGAGGGGAATTGCATTGAAAGAGGGGGAGAAAGGAGGGGTCTGATATCGCTCTGGGAAGGCGTACGGGAAATTGCCTGTAGTCATATTTCTTCAGCTTTGCGGCAACAAGAAGGAAAGAAGGATTGACTTACCAACTTTAGAAGAAGCATCGGTCAAACTATTGGAATTGTTGTGTTAGACTGGTTAATTTCACGTCCATCCGGTGCAGGACATTTATCAATCCGCACGCACCTGTTTAGAGTAGTGGACTTCCCAGACGAGGGTTTTCCGACGAGGCCGATTAACGGATCACGAGGCATAGGATAGGATATACGTATGCGAAGGCTTAATTGGGCAAAATAAGAGTATTCGAAAACAGGTATTTAGCCTATAGCCCAGGGAAAAAAAATTAAAAAATAAGAAATAAGAAAAATGAATCTAATAATACTGTGTTTGCGATGGAGTTGTATCTTATGGATTCGGGCACTTGAGGAACGTAATTTACAGTAACAAGGTTACATCAACCATGTTAGAAGGTTAGAATACCTGCACATATACGGAGTATTCATCAAACAATTGTTCTAAACCGAGCTGTTACCTTGAATCACTTTCCATGTTTAATATTTTAAGTCAAAGGCAACAGATCAGGACTACACGATTTTCCCAAACCCTGACTTTCACGGACTTGTACGAAAGTACCAACAGGATCAATCCTGGAGGCGGATTCACCATACAGTAGTATAGCATCATCCCCCGTCTCACGCCATGCAATCCTGTATCCGTGCGAGTGAATGAGTGTGTGTGTTTTACCTTTCATTCATGTACCTGTAATTTATGATGTTGAAAGATGAAATTTGATTGGGTCGGCATGGTCATTTTCATTCTGGTCAGTTGAAATTTGGCTCCTGGTTTATATCGAACATACCCATGACGTAGCGTCTTTATAAAGGACCAGAATCGGAAGTACCAAGAACAGTGTCATCCTGTGGACATTGTCGGGAGTGTTCCTCTAGCAAGATTGATTTGCAACGCGTCGGCAAAATAACATCGGAAAAGGCAATAGGCTGGATGAGAAAAATGAAACGAAGCCAAATAAAAAACAAGTAGTATTCATTCCGTCCCTTTTTATACACCCATTTATGAACGCCAGGCAAAAAAATACGTAATGGATATGAAGACCGAGATCCCGTCACCTCGCATCGCAGATATATGGCTCGTACCATGATCCAACAGATATACGAAGTAAGAACCTTCGTGTGCGCAGAACAACAGAGCACAGAGCAGAAAACGACGGAGAACACCCATCAGGATGGGAATGAAAACAAAGAAAGAGAAATGCGAATAGGAAGAGCGTAGGGGACATGCAAAAGGGCAAAAAAAAAAAAAAAAAAAAAAAAAAAAAAAGCACATGGAAGAAGGCAGACCAGAGCGTAAAACTATTCTCTAGATTTTTACCTTCTTCGCTTCCTTCTGAGCAACTCTGACAAGTTCCGCATAATACTCCATGTCCTCACCATCGCCGCCATCCTTCTTACCCTTGTCTCTCTTGATCTTCGCACTTGATCGTGGGAGCACCATGACAACGCTTGTCGGTCTCTTGGTGGCGCCGGCACTGCCTAACTCAGCTCTTGACGTGACGTAAATATAGGGGATTCCATGATCTTCACAGAGAACGGGGATATGTGATATTACGTCCATAGGTGAGATATCGGCTGCGAGTACGACGACGGCGCTTGGAGTGTCGATAACGGCGTTTGCTGCGGGTACAGGCGATTTCCGGAGTGCTTTGACGACCTCTTTCACGCCTCGTTTAAGAGACTTATTTACAGCGGCTGCGGGTGAAAATGTTGTTGTTAGTAAGTATAATTACACGGGGAACGAACTCTATCAACACCATTCCATCGGATAGCACTGCACTGGCCATAACTGCGACCCGTGTATTCTACAGACTGGTGGAAACGGGGAGGGAAAGCAAGCTAGAAGAACAAAAACTGAGACAGGCATACCTTTCTTAACACTCTTGAGCACCTTCTTCGCTAACTTATCGTCCGCTAACGGGTTCGCGAAGGGAACGAGAGCACCAACAGGACGCTCCGCAGCGGGTTTCTTTGACGCGGTCTCAGCAGCAGGCGCTGGGGAAGCATCGGGTTTCTCCAGCTGCTCCAGGACCGTTGTCGTCAATTCCTTCTCCACAGCTTCGGAAAGCAAGCTCGTGTCCTTCTTTTTATCCTTCTTAGACTTCTTGTGCACGCCATCTGTCTCCGACCGCTTCTTGTCCTTCTTCTCCTTCTTTCTCTCTTTATCAGACCGGTCCTTGGCCATTGTGACGGGGAAAAGAAAAAAGACCAGCGGACGGAATTATAAGGTATAGGCGGGGACAAGAGAGAAAAATATCGAGTTATAGTAGCCGTTAATTAAAGAGAGAATAAATGGGAGGTCAGTCACAATTTTGCTCTTTTTTTTCGTCTTGGATTTCATTTCTAGATATTTTGAACTTTGTAGATTTTGCTTGCGTTTACCGCGCTAAGCCTATTATGAATTAGCTGGTCTCTCTAGCGCCTCGAACAAAAGTACCTAGGTATACCGTATCATGGGGAATTACCTTACATGGTTTAGCTCTATCCTGATCAGGTTTAGGGCAACATCACGGCTTTCTGAACTAATGTAATCAACCACCTAACGCTCGTTTCTAGACTGGCCGCCGGGACCATGAATTTCACGTTTGGTCCCATTTGATCTGGTCTCATACATTTCTTGATGTGAGTCTCATCAGAACTGAGCATCAAAAAAATCTGAAAATGAATCATTTCTTTCAGAAATAATGTGAAAAACAACCGGATTTTTTCTCTAATTGCAAAGAAAAATATGCATCTAGCTTAAAAGAATACATGTTTACTTCATAGACTGACCGTGTAACCGTGTCTGAGACCAGGACCAGATTTTTTGATAGTCTCATTACCAATTCAACTGATCCCATTACACAGTTTTAACATTAGATAGTAGTCTTATACTGTCTCAGTGAGACTTACTGTCTACTCTTATCACATTTTTCAAATGAGATCATGATTTTCACTTCTCAATTTAAATTATTTTTATTGCTTTAAATGACTTTAAATCTTATTTAAGTGTTATCAAAAAGTGTTACTTTTTAAAAAATTAAAAATAGGCTAAAAAAAACCTTAAAATGTCTAAAAATAGTAACTTTATGCTAAGAATAAGACTAAATGAAATTAAATGAGATTACTTTCTCATTTTTTTCAAGTTATAATTTCATTTTAAGATCTCATATATAGTCACTTTGCATGTTTTTTTAATAACTAGTCTCAGTGAGATTTATATCAAGAAATGTATGAGATTAGATTAAATGAGATTAAATGTGAAATGCATAATTCCGGCAGTCAGTCTATTACTTCGAGATCTTAAAAGAACTGAAGAAGAGATAAAGCTCAAAGTCAATCTAAAACTGAAGAGAATAGTCAAGTCAGTAAATCTATAACTATAAGCTTAAAAAGAAGAAACTCTTAATTATAAATCTTCAAACTTTAATTCTTTAGCTAAATATAAGAAGAATTTGAACTCTTAAACATCTGTTAAAATTAGAGAAATAAGAAATAACTCTGATAATAAACTAGATAGAATGTAAGTAGTTAAGATTTCTGCTTTTTAAAATAGTTATAATTTACTATCTTATAATAGTGATAATAGTTGAGTCAGTAAATCTGCAACTACAAGCTTAAAAAGAAGAAACTCTTAATTGTTTAAATTCTCAAATATAAATTCTTCAGCTGAATACAAACAGAATTTGAATTCTCAAATATCTGTTAAAATTAGAGAATTGAGAAATAACTCTGTTAATAAACTAAAAAGAATGTAAGCAGTTGAAATTTATACTTTTCAAAATAGTTATAATCTACTATCTGATAATAGTAATTAAATTCTACTTTATTTCTACTCTCTTTTAGTATTGTGATGAGCTGCGTCTGATTATTATATAGACTATTTCTTTACACTTCATAGATTTCACTGAAAGCTCTGATTCTCAGTCATTCTCAATCACTGATTCTCAGCTGAAAAACTCACAGAATTTCTATTTTTTTACTCTGAAGCTTCACTGTATACACACTGTGTATATGTATAAATATTCACTTTAATCACTGATTCTCACATTTTCTCTTTCTTTTTCTTCTTTAATGTTTTTCACTTTATTATATAAGATCTATATATTATATTAATCTATTCAGTGTAGATCTCTTATACTTGAAAAATATTCATTATTATGACAGACTGCGTCTGATTAATTATATAGACTATTCTGTTACACTTCACAGATTTCAACTGCTTCATTCTCAAATATGTACATCTTAATTCTCAGCCATTCTCAATCGCTGATTCTCAGTCATTATAAACATGTATAGATTCTTTCACTCTGAAGCTTCACTGCATACATCATCACATACATGTATAAATATTCACTTCAATTGCTGATTCTCACACTTTCTCTTTCTTTTTCTTCTCTAATATTTTTCTCTTTATTATCTAAGACCTATTAATATAATACTGATCTATTCAGTATAGGCCTCTTACACTAGAAAAATATTCATTGTCTTCTTATTAGAAATGATTACTCACTGAGATATCTGAATACATAATAACACATAAGAAATAGAGAAACAGTTAAACAGTTAAGCAGACACTGAGTTCTCAGATAGAAGCTTACTCACTAGTCACTCTGACTCTGTAATAAGATCTTATAAAGAGAATGTCAGTGAAAGACCTGAGAGTTCTGACCTCAGATGTATGAGATATTCATACAATTACATATCTGACAATTGATATAACTATGTCTAATGATAATATGAAACTCTTGAACATGAGCATAGACATGATGCTACAGTGGCTCTGAGTAATGTTGAAATTACAACAATAATAAATAGCTGATATGCATACAACTCAACAATGTTAATATGAAGAGATTCAATGATTATTACAATAAGAAACTCATGTAATATCAATATCTACAGAATTGAATACAAAAGCACTGAAAGAATGCTTAGATACTCTCACATATTTTAATACTTCTGATCTCACTCTCTACTCATTATGAAGAATGAAAATGCTTGTAAAACTGAGTATAGATGAAGATGCTATCAGTTTATTAATCAATCAAGATTGATATATCAATAAACAATTAAAGAATCATATGAAACAGAAGTTTCATTCATGAATGAAAGCTTGGAAATCAGTGTTGTGAACATCTGACAATATTATCAAATATCTTGATATTCTGTTCTGAGACACTGTTATACAATAGAAAGTGTTAGATTAATTACAGAGCATCTGACAGAGAAACACTTCTCTTACAACATTTATTCCTGACTTTGATATCAAGATTCTAGAAGCAGGTGATCAATCTTGAAAGAATTAAATGAAGATTAGTATGCTTAAGAAGATATTAACTTTTGAACTCTTACAGACTCTTGTAAGTATAGATGAAGACCAGACTTATAAAGGTTTCTGCACACAGCTTCAGACATTGAATGATCATCTTATCAAGCTCAAGAGTATACAGAACAGTGACAGAAGATGTTACATCTCAGTAACTCATACATCTGTGCTGAAGAGAAGTAACAGCAATGATGCAGATATTATGAACTGAATAGACTTAAATATCTATACATAAGTAAGAGTTTTCACTGTTTAAACAGGCTTCTGAGTTTCTGAGATCACTCTCAAAGAAGTCACTGATTGATATCAACATGAAGTATACATTAACTGTAATCAATTAGAACATATCACTTTCAACTGCTGATTGATCTATGTGTCTTCACACTTAAGATAAAGATCAGTGTCTTCTTATTTGAAGAATGAATCAACATCTGTTCACATCAATCATATTACATTAGAGAAAGATTCAGAAGATAACTATGAGAATACTCTGATGAAACAGGAAAAAGATTAGCTTCTGTTTAAATTTATAAACAGAAGCTTGAAGAGATCAGATGATAATAATTTGAAGAGAAAATAATAATAAATGTGATTCTTATATCTACTGTAATTGATAACATGTATAATATAAAAGTTATAATAGACAGTGATCTATGCTACTATGCAATATTAAAATCTTCAGTTGTAAGATATCATAATCTTCAGTATATTCTCTTATCAAAACTCTGACTTCTTACAGAATTCAATGATTCAAAAGATGTTTGCATCTGTTATATAGTGAAACTAAACATAAATATCAAAGAATATCAGTGTGAAAATGCCTATGCATATAAAGTTAATAATCTTAATTATAATTTGATATTAGAACTTATCTGACTATCTGAATAAGACATCTTATTAAACACTTGAAACAGGAGTTTAATATTCTCTAATAATGATAGAATTTATAAAGATGATATTCACAAGACTATGAATCTGACACAGATCTCTGCCAACACTTACAAAATGCTCTGAAAAAGAAGTTATCAAAATCACTGACAGAGTTGCTGACAAAGTCACTGATGACAGAATCATGTATCAATCTATTCTGTCAGTCTGATCAATATCAAGAAAGCTCTAGAAAAGTTATTCAGTACTATAATAACAGATTCTCACATAAAACTTTCTCAATAATATCATGAATATCTAGATGTCTTCTGATAAGACAACATTATAAATATACCTTCTTTATAAGACTCAGAAGTGAATCACAGTATTAAGTTAGAAAAGAAGAATGATAAGAACTCTGAGTCACTGTGAGATCTTCTTTATAATATGTCTTGAGATGAACTTCTTCTTCTTCAGAAGACACTCAATGATCTGTTAGATAAGAAATTTATATATATTAGTAACTCTTCTACTGCAGCTTCTATTCTCTTTATAAAGAAGCTAGATGAAGAACTTCAATTCTGTGTGAACTACTGAGATCTGAACAGATTGACAAAGAAAGATTGATATTTCTTATCTCTCATTAATGAAACTCTAGCACAGATCAGACAAGCTTAATAGTTTATAAAGCTAGATATCATTGCTGTGTTTCATAAGATTTGTATCACTGAAGAAGATGAATAACTTACAGCATTCTGAACATATTATAATCTCTTTGAATAAATAGTCACACTCTTTGAACTGACTAATGCTCTCAGTATATTTCAGAAGTATATTAACTAAGCACTCTGAGATTTTCTTAATAAGTTTATATCTGCTTATCTAGATAACATTCTCATCTTTACTAATGAATTCAGAAAAGAGTATCAAGAGTATATATAAAAAGTATTACAATAACTATAAGAAGCAGAACTATCAATTGATATTGATAAGTGTGATTTTGAAGTTAA